CGCCCTTGGTCCCTTGGACCCCTCCTCTCTGGAAGGCCAGTTGCCAGTTTCTAGGAGACTCATTTTCTTGGTGATGGCCAAGGGCTGAAGGTGAGGCTGCCCCCATGCAGAGCCCCCAGCTGCATGCTCGCTGTGGGAGTCCCCTGGGGGAGATGCTGTTGCCCACTCCCGGACTGTCAGGCTTGCTCCTGCAAAGGTCTGCGTCATTGCGTTCCCATTTTGAATGGCAGGAACTTGGGGTTTGGTGTGGCTTTTGTTTCGAGTGGACACGCACCAGCTTCCTCTGAAGCCGAATTTTACAGCTTAATCACATCAGTGTGTCCCTGGGGTTATCAATTTGACCCTCAGGTGTGAACCCCTGAGTCCTCCCATTCCAAAAATGCATGACCTATCTTTTCTCCACCCTCACCCATCTGCAGCCATGGCCCTCTCTTGTCTGCGCAAAAGTCAGCCCTGTGGATTTCCTTTTTTTTTTTTTTTTTTTTTTGACAGGCAGAGTGGACAGTGAGAGAGAGAGAGACAGAGAGAAAGGTCTTCCTTTTGCTGATGGTTCACCCTCCAATGGCCGCCGCGGCCGGCATGCTGCGGCCGGCGCACCACGCTGATCCGAAGGCAGGAGCCAGGTACTTACCCTGGTCTCCCATGGGGTGCAGGGCCCAAGGACTTGGGCCATCCTCCACTGCACTCCCTGGCCACAGCAGAGAGCTGGCCTGGAAGAGGGGCGACCGGGACAGAATCCGGCGCCCCGACCAGGACTAGAACCCGTGTGTCAGCGCTGCAAGGCAGAGGATTAGCCTATTGAACCACGGCGCTGGCGCCCTGTGGATTTCCTTAAAGGGACGTGGCCCTGCCGCCCCAAGCAGGAGCCTCCTGGGCCAGCTAGGATGACAGGTGGCAGTGTTTCCAAACTCTTGGCGGACGTGTTTCCTACATTCTGGGTGACAGTTTCTCCTTTCTGTTGCTTATTTTTGAGTGTTTGGATTCAGCGAAGGAACATTGGGTTTAGCCAAGAACGTCTGAGGTTTCTATAGAAATCGCTGGTGGCGAGAGGGAAGGGGGTGGAGAATGCATTAAGCAAGCACAGCGTAGGAGAAGTGGCGTTGCACAGGGCCCCTCGGGCCTGGGGCTGCCTGTTCCAAGAGACGCTTTTACAGGGCTCCTTCAGCACTGGAGCCGTGAGGTGCTGCTACAGATGTCTCTGCCCTCCTCTTGGTGAGAGGGGCACTCAGGGGGCCGCCGACCCATCCGAGGTCGTAGAAGTAAAGTAGTGATTGAGCCAGAGGCAGACCCCGGGCAGTCCATGCCCCCGCCGTCACTTCTCACACCAAGCAGGGGAGAGGAGTGGAGGAGCAGGCTTGCAGCAGCAGGCAGTGTGCCCTAGGAGCGTACTACAACCTGAGAGCCCTGCCCCAGGCTGCCTGCTCTGTGCATCAGGATCGTCCAGAAGGCCCCTGAAACATGCCGGTCTTCCTGAGGCTGCTGGTTGGGCCGGAGCCAGTATGACTGTGCCCTGCTGCTCGGGTGCAGACACCGGATCCACCGCAGTCTTGAGAGAGGCCCTTCCCTCGCACAAGGTGCAGGGGCTGGCAGACTGCGGATGTGCGCTGGGACTTCCCTTTTTCAGCGTTTTAAATGTCTTTAAGCCACAGCTTTTGAACCTTGACCAGACCCTGGGATGTCCTGGGCAGCTTTGAAAGATCCCAACATTCAGGCTGCCCTGCAGACCCAATGGATGGGAAGTGCCCAGGTGGGACCCAGGTGCCTGCATCCGTTAAAGCTCCCAGAGGGGTTCCAGTGAACAGCCAGGGTGGGAATCAGTGCACCAGGCAGAGCGCCCCCTGGCTGCAGCAGCCCTGCCCCGGCCCACTCCCACGGGCATCTGAGTTTGCTGCTGCTTGGTGGAGGATCGTGGGGCGGAGAGGCTGCTGACCCCTACAGTGTGCTACACCCGTGCGGCCTGACGTCATCTGGCTCTCGCTGAAGGGGGGGGGGGGGCGGTGCTGTGGGGTAGATCCTAAATGGGATGTGTGGCTGAGTCCCTGCCCAGCGTGAGAGACTGGATGTGCATGAAACAGGCAGAAAACTGGCACCAAGCCGGCGCCAGTGGCTCACTAGGCTAATCCTCCGCCTTGCGGCGCCGGCACACCGGGTTCTAGTCCCGGTCGGGGCGCCGGATTCTGTCCCGGTCGCCCCTCTTCCAGGCCAGCTCTCTGCTATGGCCAGGGAGTGCAGTGGAGGATGGCCCAGGTGCTTGGGCCCTGCACCCCATGGGAGACCAGGAAAAGCACCTGGATCCTGGCTCCTGCCATCGGATCAGCACGGTGCGCCGGCTGCAGCGGCGGCCATTGGAGGGTGAACCAACGGCAAAAGGAAGACCTTTCTCTCTCTGTCTCTCTCTCACTGTCCACTCTGCCTGTCAAAAATAAAAATAATAATAATAATAATAATAATAATAATAAAAAAATAAAAAAAGAAAACTGGCACCAAGTAGATGTGACATCATGTAATTCTCAAAAAAAAGTGACTTTGACTTTGAGCTTGCAGTAAAGTCTCAGAGCTGTGCAGGTGCAACCAAGTGTCTCGTTCACTGTCAGTGGGATGGCGACGCTCTCCACTTAGAGGAGTCACTGGCCCCAGAGTTGTGTTAGCATCTGCCTCTTAGGCTGGGAGAGCTTGTGCAGGTCACCTTGCCTGCCTCCTTGCAGAGAGGGGAGTTCCTCAGGGCTCAGAGAAGTACACGAGCATCCCCAAGTCGCACAACAAAGAAGAGGGCAGCAGGGCTGCAGGCTGAGCTGTGCCGCCCCATGGGCCTGCCTTCTCCTGGAGGAGCTCCAGGCCTTTGGGTCTGGCCCCCGTTAAATCCCGAAGCTCCTGCAGCAGGTGGTGCTTTGGCTGTGCCTGGACTTCATTCTCTCGTAGCCAGGCATCCTCTTGTTGAATGTGAGGTTTCCAGGCGGGAGGAACACACTGCATTCCTGGTACCCGACTTCCCGGGTAGCCAACCTGGGGCTCCCAGAGGCTCTGAGATCCCCTCCGTCTTGCTGGGTTTCCTCTCAGCATACAGAAGGCCTTAGGTCTGGATGATAGCATCCCAGCTGAACCCAACGCGTGTTCTGATTTTGAGCTATGGGAACATAGCTCCCCAAAACAGACATGATGAAGTTGGGAGGTGAGGAGGGGTTGCAGACTGCTGATGTCAGTGAGGAGGGATCTGGGCCCCTGGCTGTGACCGTGGCTTCCATCCTAGAGAAAGCAGAACTCCCCACATGGGAAGGACCCTGTCCTGCTGACCGGGCTGCTGGCTGGGCAGAGGCCTGGTGGCCACCTCATAGTGACAGCTAACACTCATTTAAGCTAACTCACTGCCAGGCGTTCGTCTGTGCATTTTGCTTATGTTAACTCTGCATTAATATCGTCATCCTCCTTATGGATGGGGACAGCAGGGCACCGAGAGAGTAAGTCATTTGCCCAGAGTGACAGCCAGTGACAGAGCCAGGATGGGTACCCAGGCCAGCTCCAAGTCTGTGTGCTCTCTGCCGCATGTGCTAACCTGGCTCGCAAGGGGTCTGCCGCCCGTCTCATGCATTGCCCCAGAAGCTGTGTGGTGGAGGGGGTCCCCGTTGCACTTCCCCCAGTAGCAGGCATGGCTGTCAGTCATTCTGTACCGTGAGCAGTAAGTAAGGTGCTAGAGTGGCTGTGGGCGCACGGCGCCAGGGAGCTCCACCACAACTTGTCCTCAGCCCTATCGGAAGTCCTGAACCTGGCCAGACCACCTGCCTGATCCCCTGCACTCCTCCCCAGGAGAGCTCTGCCCTGGTTTCCCAGGGAGGCGGCCTGTCCTGGGGACCTGCTGAAAATAGGGCCCGGGGCGGGGGTGGGGTGAGGGATTGGTGAGGCTTCTCTTCCTTGGAGGAGTGTTTTCACCAGGGGCCTCCTATGCAGGGCCTGTCCCAGAGACAGGCTGCACCCCAGTCCTGGCAGCTCCAGGCTCAGGCCACCATGACTGCGCAGCTGCGGCCTGTGGCAGCCCCAGGACACACAGAGTTTCCCTGTATCTGTGCTCAGCCGTCTGCCAATGGGGAACATATCTGGGGTGACAGTGGAGGCTGCACAGCAGGGGCAGTGGCCGTGAGGACAGCGGGATGCTGGTGCAGGCACTCTCCTCCCCTGCTGGGGACATGGGAGGGGGGGCTGGTGTCTCAGAAGGAGGGGCAACGACAGTGTGGGGGTGCTGCTGGCTCTGGCTCTCCCCCTCAGCACCCCTCTCGCCCCTGTGGCCCCAGCTTAGCCTCCGTGTTGTTGTTGATGGTGGAGATGAGCCTGCAGCCCTCAGCAGTGTCAGATGCTCCCTCTCCGGCAGGAACCTTTATCTGAGATTAAGGATAATGGATTTCCTCTCCTGGACCAGTTTTGTTTTGCTTTTCCCTTCCTCTTTGTCTCAGACTTTGGGTCCAAAACGCACTCAACTCCAGAAGATAAACTTTTTGTGACCGAGTCCTTGTGTGGCCCACACTCCCCACCCCCAGTCCTGCTCCTCCTGCCTCCCCACCGCTGCGTTGCCCTTTGTGCTTCCAAGGAAACCTGGAGAGAGGGTGCGAAAGGACCACTTGCCCTTCCTCCTCTCCCCAACCTGCTTCCCCCTCCTCCTCCTGCATCCCCTGAGCCCTGCTCCGCACCTGCAGCAGGAGCCCAGGTGGGCCGAGGGCCGGGGCAGGGGAATAACATCACTTCTTCCTTATTTTCCTTCAGCAATTTCCGCCAGCACCCACCTCTTCAGAAATCTAGATCCTGCCCAGAAGACATGGGGAGAGGACGTGGCGGGGGGTCCCCTCCTCCGCCTCCCTCTGGGTTCACTGCCACCGCCACCCTCTGGGGAAGGGAGCGGCCTCCAGGCCGGAGCGCGTGGTCTTCATGGGAGCTGGGAGACCCCTGCCCGCGGCAGCCAGGGACAACCGCGTGCATTTATTTCACCTGGATCTTTCTTTTTCCCCCTCCAACAGCCCTATTACCATATTTAAATGCAAGTATGTCTCTCTCGTTGCCGTTTTCAGTAGCCTAGCTGACCTTCTAGAGTAGCTTTGTTCCGTTCAACTCTCCCTTCAGTAGTACCGTGTAGCTAGGCCCATAGGCTTAGAATGTAGTGGGCTTCTAGTTCGCTCTGTCTGGGGGAACTCTCTCTCCTTCCTCCTCTGCTCCCTGCCCTCACAGTGCATGTCTTCCTCCCTCGTGTCTCGGAGAAACCCCCCACTCCACCCCCACCCCCGGTCTGGAAGGCTCAGTGCCTGGCATTGAGCAGCTCTGGTGGGGCTGCTTGTAAAGTTTGCGGCTGGCTTCTGACACATCCTTAAAGCCACAGTCATTGTCAAGGGGTCTTGCAGTCAGGCCTCCAAGTGTGCCTGGAAGGCAGAGAATGGTTGTGTGTGTGTGTCTCAGCATGTGCCTCTGTGTGCACCTGCTGGTGGCCAGAAGCCCAGAGGCCGGCAGGCACTTGGTCCCCTTGGCCCCCTTGGTCTGTTATGGGGACAGCCTTACTGTCCAGAGCGTTTTCAGAGGGCACAGCCTTGATGAAGAAGGACCCCAGAGACCCCCTGGAGACCCTCCAATACCAGCTTCCTCTGGGCTGGGGGCTTCAGGCAGAGGAGCCACATCTGAGTCCCCATAATTGCTGGAGGAAGTCAGGGTACAGATCCAACAATGCTGCGGGGCTTACCCCACACCCAGCCCTGCAGCCCCCTACTGCTCCCCACTCCGGCTCCACAGGTGTACACTGTACACAGTCCCCTGGGATACACACACACACAGACACACACACACACACTCACGCACACACACTCAGACTGAGGACTAGTGAGCTGCTGTCGGGAAGTTTTGACAAGTCTCAAGTGCAGAGGCGTGGAGGAGAGCTGGAGGTGAGCCGTGTCCCGGCCGAGTGCCCATTCTGTCAGGAGGCCGTGCCTGCTGCCTCCCGCCTGTGGCCATGGCTGAGCACACAGCCCAGACCCCCTGCAAGGAAGGAGCCGCCGCTGGCCAGCCCAGCCATGCGTGGCCCTGTTGTCGCCACAGCCCCCTGGGAGCCACCACGCGTCCGTCAGTGCGGGGTCGGCACAGCCCTGGGCCTCGGGGAAGATGCCCTTCATACTCTCCAGTGGTTTCTGAGGGTCTCTTAGGGCCAGTGTCTGGGGTGACAGGCTCACCTAACCATGCTGTGCCTTCCAGAAGCCTAAACGCCGCAGGTCCACGCCTCCTCACCCCCACCCCCAGGCTGCCGTGCAGGTCCCTCCCCCACGCCTGTCCTGTGTGTGGAGGGGTGGGGCTGTGGGGCCCGGGACACAGGCTCCGCAGGGCCCCCTCCTGACTGCCAACCCCCCTCTCTCCACAGGCTTCCCGGCGGCGGCCTATGGACCAGTGGCGGCGGCAGCAGTGGCAGCGGCCCGCGGATCAGGTAGGGAGGTGTATGGGACAGGCGGCTCCCAGGCATGCCCAGTGTGCGGGGCAAGATAAAGGCGCTGTGGGTCTGTGTGGCTGCCTCTGTCCAACACTCCTCTCACCACAGCCCGGGCGGGGGGCGGGGAGGGCGGCCCCCAGAAGGAGAAAACTCAGGTTTTGACTGTGGACCTCCCCCACCCCGACCTGCACACCAGGGGTCATTCGCCTCCCTGGCTTTTGCTGGTTCCTTAGATTCCCTTCCTCGGGCTCTAACCCAGCTGGGGGAGGAGTGAGGGTGTCCCCTCAGCCCCTGCTGCCCTTGGCAGGTGGCCTTGCTGATCGGCTGAACCTCAGGGCCCTTGCAGGCCAGGTGGGGCAACCCTGGTCCTGCTGCCTCCTAGTGTGTGAGTGAGGCTCCTGGGCTGCCTTGGCCACCGGGCTCAGGGGCTTTCCCTCCCAGAGGTCGCCCCAGGCCTTCTGCCTCCAGTAGAACCTCTTAGAGGCCGCAGCCCCCCCAGATAACACGGGGGCTCTCGGCAGCGTGGTGGGGCTGCGCCGGGACTGGGGCAGGTCCCTGCGGTCCGTCTGTCCTCCCAGAGGGCGCCGGGAGCCTCCCCAGCCCACTCTGCCCTCAGCTCAGCAGCCTTGGCTTGCACCTGTGTCCCACACCCCGTGGGCAGGGCCTGGAGCACCCCGGGAGGCGCTTAGTGGGATGGAGCGGGGCTCTGAGGAGGGTGGGGCCGGGCGGGGGTCTGGTGAGGGCACCAGGAAGTGGAGCGTCAGAGGCCCGGAGAGCATATGTCAGGGAGCCGAGCCCTTGGTGGAGAGCACCTGGCACGGTGAGGCCCATTAGAAAACGTCAGTCAAAAATCCGTTCCATGCAAACTGGCACTGCCTCGGAGCTACAAAGGACCCCCTCCCCTGACCATCCCCTGGGGTTGTATTTGGAGGGGTCAGGGGATTCCTGGGGGCTGCTGGGGGGCAGTTCGCCAGAGAACTGGCAGGCGGGCAGACTCCAGGCAGACGTGTCCTAGGCTTCACCCGCCATGGCAGTCTCCAGCTGTCCCACCTGCTCTCTGGCCAGTGTCCCTCAGCCACCCCATCCCCCCGCCCCCGGGCCCTGGGCGCAGGTGCACAGCTGCCTCATGTCTCCCTGTTCCGTTTGATTTGTTTTTATCTTGAGTGCTTTTTGGTATCAAGACAAAAAAGCCTCCTCAGCCCTATCTGTGCCTGGGTTGGGGATAGAGGGGAGTGGGGGAGGGTCTGGGTGGGGGCGGGGGAAAGATTTCAAAGAAACCAAAAAAAAAAAAAAAAAAAAACCTTTGAGATTTTTGAGTGTTGCTGGTTGTGGTTTTCTCCGTTCAGTTCCTCTCTTTTTGTAACTTGGATTATGAAACTAAACTTTAACCCGAAATTAACCCTGCCTTTCTCCCCACCCACCCCGTTCTCCTTGACTTCATGGCAAGTTTAAAGGGCAGCATGGGGTTCTTTGCCAGTCGGAGAGCGGTCTCCGCACCCTGCCACCCCTGCCCTCTCACAGACCCCTCCCCCAAGTCGGACGGGAATCCCACCCTCCCCCCTAACTCCTAACCCGCAAGGTCATCTCCAGCCACGCATTTTTTTTCCAGGCTCAGTGGTGTTTTATTTGTAGCCATCTCCATCGGGAGCGACATCTCCCCCAGGCCATCCTAGGTCAGCCATGCTCATTGCTGCACTGTTAGTGAATCGTATTCAGGAGTGTGCTTCTCGACCACCTGCCCTACACCAGCCTGGGCCAGTGCAAGGAGTAAATCCTCATCTCCGAGGTGCCCACCCCTGGGCTGCCTGGGGTGCACGGGTGTGAGGCGGTAACTAGATGGAACCCACGGAGGTCAGAGCACCACCTGGGCTGGAAGACACCAGCCCACAGGTAGATTAGGGACCCTGGCCCCACTTTTGGACCTGGACAGGTAGGGGGACTGTCACCTCCCTCCCTCTGGAAAGCCATCTAGACTCCAAGCCTGATGGGTTGGCCAGTCATCTGCCTGGGGCGGGCCCTCAGAAGCAGGAGCTCTTGGCTGGGAACCAAGAGGGCCCATTGTGCATGGGTCGGGGCACCAGCCCCAGCAGCCCCACCCCACCCACCTCTCCTCTCCCCAGGGATAAGGGTGCTCCTCCAGCCTCCTGACAAGCAGCCTCAGCTGCTGGAGTCTGTTGAATCCCGCCTTGAGTCTGGTACCATGATGCACCTGTCAGGTGACCCCAAGCAGGCAGCATGGCCCCTGTTCCTCAGGGCACTCGGGCATGGCTTAGGGATTAGGGACCTCCAAGAAGGCCTCCTTTTTGCCTCTCGTTTTTGACTAGCTCCATCATTTTGGTTTTATTTCTCCCCCTTCCATGACGACTTCCAGAAGTGAAGTAGCACCTGCTGAGGGCTGTGGGGTGGGAGGCAGCTTCAGTTTCGCTTAGAATGACAGCTTGTATCCGTCAAGGCTACGGTGTCAGGGTAGGAGGTCCGGGGGCCTTGAGCTCTGCGCCCACCTCGGCCCACTCCTCTGGGCCAGCCTGCCCTTTTCCTAACTCCCCCAGGACCTGAGCAGAGCAGGGCTCAGGCGACTCCCCCCCCCCCCCCCACCGGGAGGTCCTGGCCGACTCCTAGATAACTTCACTATCAGTGGTCACTTTTCTTTTTCCTTCACCTGGTAGTTTGAAATGTCATCTTTTCTTGTGCTCAGTCGAGAGTTTGTTTGTTTATTTTGATCGTGTTCATTCAGTTCCAGTGGCCCCATCATGTCCTACCCCCAAACCTAAATCCCACTTCGGGAGGTGTCTCCCCCACACCCCTCATCACCACCCCCACTGGCGAGGGAAGTGGTTCAGATCCGCAGCCTGTTGTGTTTCGGGGAGATGCTGCCAGCGGGTCCATGGATCAGCCCCCGGCAGCCCCGTCCTGCCCAGCCCGGCCCCGGCCCCAGCCAGGACCCCTTACTGTTCTTTATACTTGCCAGCTTTATTCCCGTCTAGTTTCGTGAGCGCCCGACGTGTGGTGAGTGTGAGCAGTCATGTTTCTGTTGTCTTTTCTCTTGCTTGGTTGGGGCTGCGGTGAGAGTGGCTCTGAGGCATACTTTCCTGCCTCTCTTACACTAGGATCTGCACACCTCCTCTCAAACACTCTTCTGAGCACGCTCAGCGGGAAGGTTTGTCCACACCTATTAATCCTCTCTCAGTGTCCAGCTTCCTGTTAGTACCAGCTGGTTTGCATGTTTTTGCTTGTTCAGATGAAACAGTTCAAGAAACAAACTCATATCCAACTCTCGAGAAATGTCTTTTTTTGTACACTTTCGTTTTCGATTTTTTTTATTAGTTACAACTCCAAAACACCTGTTGTCCAGTAAAACATTTCACACCTCCCCTGCCTGTTCTTAGAGTGTATGTATCTGTGGGACTGAACTAAATGCATGCACTGTAGTAGATGTCCTGGTAGCTGTAGCAGTAGTTGTAGAACATGCATTGTTGAGTTGATATTACAGGGTTCCCAACGGCTCGGCACAGCACGGCCGGCTGCAGGGGAGGCGGGGGCCAGGAAGAGAAGGGGCTCCATCTTGTCCACGTCGCCAAGGGGCTTGGATCCATGTTCTCGCCATCAGCCACCACCACCTCCCCTCACGCTCCCTGCTCCCCCAGTCCAGAACTGGGTCACCACCCCCAGCGCGAGCCTCCTCCACCAAGATCTCTGTGGACAGGGTCCAGCTAGCGGGACCAAGAATGGAACCGGGAGTGGAAGGAGTCATAAAACTCTCCCATGTTTTCGTCTTCCTCACGCTGTTCTTGAGCAGAGCGGATCTTTTCTTGTCTCTGAAGGCTGCTGGTCATGGCCCCGCAAGCCCCTCCAGCCCTTGGGGTACTGCCACTCAGCCCTCAGGCAGCCCTGTGCGTAGGTCTGCCCCTGGGGTGGAGGGGAAGTGTGACGTGGTAAGGAAGGGATTGAGCTGTGCTCAGCCTGGCTCTGCAGACAGGAAGTGCACTTGGTCCTGGTGACAGCTGTGGCCTGTTCTTACCATGGGTGAAGTAAGAGGCCGGTGGGGTGAGAGGGGTGACAGCCCTAGTGTGGAGATGGGTGACAGGCCAGCTTCATGGGGAGGGAAGGGAGGGGCAGGCTTCGAGCGGGGGAGGGGGGAGGCCACTCAGTTTACCTCCACCTCCCCAAAAAGGCTTCCTATAGGGGGGAGGAGCAGTGAGTCCTGCAGCCTTTGCCCTCGCCTAAGGGCAGGTGCAGTCAGTCATCTTTGGATACTGGTTTCCCTTCATTTGTGGTGCTGAGCCCGTGACCGGGGCAGAGGAGTCTGGGGGCTTTAGGACACGCCCCTGTTCTTTGCAAACTGATGCGAAGGGAAGTAGAACTTGCCTCCTGGGGTCTACTCTGTAAGTCAGGGTGTGGGTGCCGGCCCCCGGGCCTTTTGGGGGCCCTTTTTTTTGGGGAGGGACAAAAAAAAAGACTCCAAAGACTTTTTTTAAACTCCCCCCCAAAAAGTCTTGTGTTGCCCCCAAAGGGTACCCCCCAAAAAAGAAATCTGTTCCTTGGGTCCCGGTTCCCAGGAGTTGTGCATCCTCCCCCAAAAAAGAATTAGGCGCCCAGGCCCCCGCAAAAATTTTTGGGGGAGCTTTTTTCCGGCTGCCCTTTTGTGGGGGGGGGGGGGGGGGGGGGGAATGGCTGGAGCCGCCAGGCTCCCAGGCTGCGGAAGCTGCACATTGACCTGAGGCTGGGGAGGGGGAGAAGAGCATAGGAACAGAAGGCAGGGGGAGCAGGAAACCCCCTCCGCCCCGGCCTACATCCTCGGTCTGGCTCTGCTGCTCTGCGGCTAGAAATCCTCCACGCTCTAGCTGAGGCAGGTGAAACGAGCAAAAGGAAAATGCAAGCCACGGGTAGAATTCGCAGTTTACAGAACCTGCCATGGGGGGAAGAACAGGTCCCAAGAGGCGAACGCACCCCTCCCGCCCACTTCGAAATGGTCCTGTGTTCCCAGCACCAGCCTGTGT